ACTAGAACTGGGCGAAAGCAGCTCACTCTCTATCGACCAACATTCCTATGTAAAGGGAATACTATCGCTTCGTGTTGATGCACGCTTTTCGGACTTTGCGTCGTTGAGAATGAAACTTGCATGGCTTACGCATACACGTCCAGACTGTTCCTATGAGGTGTCACAAATAGCACAAGTGACACGGGAGCGCTTTGACCTCCAGCCGTCAAAGGATATCAAGAACTGCAATAGAATGGTGAAGCATGTCCGTATGCATCGACTTCAGATTCAAGTCCCCAAGCTTGATATTAGCTCTCTTCGTATTGTGGGTTTCTCTGATGCGTCATGTAGTGCAGTGACCCTGCGCTCTTTATCCCTTGTCACCGCCGTCGCGGGGCCGCGTTCCGCGCCTTTGACACGTGTGTAACACGTGTGCTCATCGAAAGTGTACATGTACACTTTGGATGAGCCCACACGTGTATGCTGTGCGCTCCCGTCTATGACACGTGTACTCATCCAAAGTGTACATGTACACTTTGGATGATACCACACTTGTATGATAAGCGCGCCACACGTGTACTGTGCGCGCACACTTGGGAAAGTAGACCACGTGTACCACACGTGGCCACACGTGTATGACAAATGTATGACACGTATATGATACGTGTACGACACGTGTACGACACGTATACATACGTGGTGCCCACAAGTTTCTACGCTTATTATTGTCTAAAGCCAAGTGGCAATTCTAATGACGATAATTAGTTATTAATTATCCATTTAGTAACCGACGCCGACGACGGCGCTCGGCCTATATAGGTCGGGTGTCAGAAGGCGCTACAGTAAAGAGGCATCAGGTGATCGGACCCCATCTCTGGTAGGATCCTCTACGGTTCCTATCTAGTTGGCTAAGTCTGGTACCTGCACCCTTCGTCGTCATCCTTTTTGTTGTTTTTCCATTACTTTTTCCACTATTTTCTACATTTCTACACTAGCGTTCTTCTTCGTTCTTCTTTCTTCTTCTTGTTGTTTATTCCTTCTAGCGCACTCCCGCTAGAGTGCACCCCTTCACGCACACCGCGATGTACCCGCGGTACCACGTCCACTCCCCTGAGTTACCCGGACAGAGGGGCTCGAACACCTTGGTGGTTACTGTACCTTGCGTCGCGCTTTCAACAGCGAGATATACGCCCTCGTTGGCGGTGTGGAGGTGCACTGCACTACACGTCATTTGCAAGCAACTCGGACCTCACGTCCCACCTTGGTTACGTCTGCTTTCTGTCTGATGCCACTGAAGCAGTTATACCTATCGCCTTTAAGTCATACAAGGCACGTAGGGTGACGCGATCGGTAATGGAAGCGGAGGTAATAAGTTTTAGTGACATGTTTGACTGTTGTTTTACCTTGGCCGAGGATCTACGGAGTATCATGCAGGTCAAATTTATTCCAGTACAGTTATACACGTATAGCAAGTCGCTGGTCGATGTGATATCCAAGGGTACGAGGACCGCGGAAAAGAGGCTCATGTTGGACATCGCCGTGGCAAAAGGAGGATTTCGGAAGAAGGAAATCAGTGACATTGGTTTCGTGCGGAGCAACAATAATGTTGCTGATGGATTGACTAAGAAGATGCATCAAAAGGCCCTCATGGATGTTTTGCGGACAGGAAAATTATCCATTCGAGCTGAACAATGGATAGTCAGAAACTGAACCGAAGCTCAGTTATCACGTTTACGTTTATATGAAGTTTTTTCTTATTTTTCAGTGTCACCTTAACAATCTCCCGTACCTCAGCTACTCTTAATTGAGTTGCATCATCACCGCCGACTCGTCGTAAGATATCGTCAGTGAGCGCGAACGGAAAACGTGACGAGCTATCATGTATAATGCCCTTCTTGCAGTCTACAGCTACGCAGTGGTCCACAATGCCATGTTGTGTAATTCTGCCAATCCATATACCTGTGCACCGATTGACCAACCATTTAAATGGATTCTTGTTGAATTCACCTTTCTCCGTTTTCGGGATACGCCGAACATTTATCCCGACCGGAAGCTGATGGACAAAAATGAAAAGCTGCTTCAATGTTTTAAACCTCGTCGGGTCCGAGTCAAAATATTTTTTGACTTGCAAAGCGGTGTGTTCCTCGTACAAAGATTCGCATGCGTTGGATACAGCCGCTGGCGCAACGTGTCATTATTACTCCGAATGATATTTGGTCCGTAGTCGTGAACCTCGAACTTGCGCGACCCGGAGATATGTCCACGAGCTCCAATCCCTCCAACGACCATCGATGTTCCACGACACCTTTCCATCATTTTAACAATTGGCGTAGCAACTCATGGCTTTTTGCTGCTTCGTCTTCCTGTACGCCCGTCCCTGTGTTGAGTTGTTTGATCATCGCCAAGAAGGAGTATGGGGTTAGTTTCAGCGAACTTGGCTCGATTGGTCAAAAGCTTTCCGGTCCTCCGGTCACTCCACCGCACGCGTACAGTGCACCATCACGCAGTGTCTTTCCGCATTTCTCAGTTGTGCCGTCTCCAACAACGATACGCTCGATTCCCCATGTCATCTGGCCTCACCGATACTAGATATTGGAACACCTCCTCGGAGATTTGTGTCCACTTTTGTTCTCAGGTGGACCGTCTCGTGTGCAGGACAAGAAGCGAGCGAACGCTTGCGAGTGCAGGCTATTATACGATACGAGTCGAAGCAGATGTCGGTGGCCAAGACACCACTCCAGTGCCACGTAAGCGGGACTTAGCAGTCATTTTTCCGTAATTTTAATTTCGTTTTATTTCGCAGGGACAGACAGGAATTGTCGTGAACGAATAGGGGAAATGTCAATCTTTTTGGCTTACAGCCAATAAGATTGTCTTTATTCGTTCACGGGAGATCGAGGGGTCGATGCTCCCGCAATACCCTGTGTGCGTTCCCCGTCAAAAAGGGGGGGTATACTATTCTCGGCTCCCCACCCAGTGACTAGCACCTGGAGGAGGGTAGAGGAAAAAGCAGTAAACACATTTTTAGTGAAAGCTGCTTAACCATCGCGTGCGGCGTTTGGGCCTCGTCCTATCCTGCACTAATACTAATTTCCGTGTCTGTCTGTCTGTGTGTGTGTGCGTTCCCGCGTTGCCATTGGCGGGGCCTGGCCGCAGGCCAGGTCCGCTACGTAGACACGAGGTGGCTTTAGGCACGATCGTAGCACTACAGTACAGTACAAATTTAAATTTTGAATGCTACACTACAGTACAGAAAAAATAAAAAATTCACTCCCGACCCGCTTTGCGTTCTCTACCGATCTCCGCGCACACCGTCTACGCGAGGTGAGTAAGTTAATAACTGTCCTCAATGCTCCGGCCAGCTTGCTGCCCGCGGCATTTGAGCGCACGCGAACGCTTACTGACTATAAACGGTGTGTATCTTTTCTGCGAAGTGTCTACTCAAGAAGAACGCCAAGAATTGCGAGCTGCGCGCCGCGCCGCTACCCCGATCCGCCTGAACTTTTCGGAGTCCCCCACAGCGTCGACACGTGTCAACGTAGCTCATCCAGCCCCGCCCTGTGCGCCCGCCCCACGTGTTCACGTCCCCTCGATTGCCCCCGCGCCCGCCACACGTGTACCGCGCGCCCCTCCGCCACGTGTACCACGTCTTCCGCCTGCCCCTGCGCCAGCACCCGCACCACGTGTATCGCGCGCAACGGTCCCACGTTTTACACGTTTACGTCTGCCTGTCATTCCTACGTTTCGTGGGCTACGTGTGCCACGTGCCATCGAGCGGCCGCGTGCGCGCACGTTGCCAGCTGTCACTGCTGTGTTGCGCAGTGTTCCCGTATACACGTGTGACACCTGCAACTTTCATTGCTCGCGCGCGGTACTGTAGGATGGGCATGCGCATACTGAGGGGCACGTGGCTCAAGTGAATCAAGCGGGCCGAACATTCCGGTGCGAGGTGTGTGCGTGCACTGTTGCCACTGCACACGACTTCAGGCGACATCTGGCGGGCAAGAAGCACAAGCGTAAGCTCCGATCCATCACGGGATAGTACAAGAAAATAAAGGCCCTATTGTTACTACTTTGCTAATTGCTCTCGCGGACGACCTAGCTAGCTGACGTTGCGTTTAGACCTTTGAGGACTGCTTGCTACGACTCATAGCGATCTACAACGGACCTCTCGCACTTGCGTCAACCGTAGCTGCACTTACAAGGATTTCAATAGCGTGCCGAGCAGAACGGAAATGGCGGGACCAGCGGATGAAGACGTGGCAGAAGCAAGAAGGCAGCAAAGAAACGCGCGTGCAAGGGCAAGAAGAGCGCAAGAGACTGAAGCTGATGCTCAAGCACGTCGTGAGGCAGGTCGAGACCGTGCAAGAATCCGGAGGGCTCAACAAACCGAATCTGAGACTGCAGCGCGTCGCCGAACCAACTGCGAACGTACTGCAGCACGACGAACAGCAGAGACTCCTGAGCAGCGCCAAGAGCGTCTCCGACGAGGCAGGGAGAGACCAAGGGCGCGCAGAGCGGGAGAAACAACCCCCCTCCGAGAATCACGGCGCGAAGGGAGCGCAATGCGTCACGAGGCGCTAGAGCAGAGGAATGTACTCCCATTCGTGAAGCGCGGCGAGACCTTGACCGTCTCTCCAGCCAACGATCAAGGGATGCACAGGACACACCGACTCGGAATGCGCGGCAAGGGTCCGACCGCCAGGCTCGAAGTGCTTCCCGACAGCTCTTATCTCCACTTCCCGACTCGTCGCCTTCGTACCGCGATCTCGGCATGATCTGTACTGAGTGTTCGCACTGCAAAGCTCTGCATTTCGTCCAAGAACGCCTCTTGAGCAGTTCTGCGGCAAGGCCTTTTTTTTCACATGCTGCGAGAAGGGAAAGCTGTCATTGCCCCTTCTTCCCGACCCTCCAGCTCTTCTGCGCTCTCTTCTCATCGACGATACTCAAAGGTCCCGCCGCTTCCGTAAGAACATTCGAGCATACAATGCAGCGCTGTCTATAGCATCCATGGTCGCCAAATGGTGAGCAGAGGGCCCGGCTCTTCCAATTTTAACCCAACAATGACGATGCAGGGCGAGATATACCATTACATGGGTCCCATGATGCCATCCGAGGGGCGGGTGCCTTCCTACGGTCCCGTTTACATTCACGACACTGACTACGCCACCCAGACGCGTACAAGGCTTGGAAACTCTACACGACTGGAAGAGGCATTGATGACGCAACTAACGCACATGCTGCACGAATGCAACCCCTACGTGCAGACATTTCTGTGTATGCGAGAATGGGCTCAATCTCCTCACAACAACACTCCAGCCGCGTACCAGATGGTCATCCATGCCGACCGCAGGCCAAGTTATGAGCACGTGCGCCGGTACAATGGTCCCGAAGCTTCTGAAGTGGCTGCATTGATCCCTGGAAATGAAAACGGAGAGATTGGGTGAAGAGATATCGTCGTTCGCAGGCGAGGGACTCTGAACAGTAACGGGAACGAAGTGTTGGATCCGATTTCACTCAGTCATCGTGCATACGATCCATTGAGTTACGTGCTTTTGTTCCCGAACGGTAGAGATGGATGGTATCCAGAGCTTCGATTCTCCAGTGAGGACGACGGCAGACGTACCAAGATAACTCCGATGATGTTCTACGGATGGCATTTGTTCGAAAGGGCAGGTGAGTTCATCATGATCTTACACGCAGCGCGACTCTTTCAGCAATATTTAGTTCACCAGTTTTGCAAAGTGGAGGCAGAAAGGCTTTCGTATCTCCGCCAAAACCAGACAAAGCTTCGAGGGGCGGACTACATCTCACTTCGCGACAGCCTAGGAGACTCCGGTCGTGCTGAAGATGAAGCCGACGCTGTACGTGCAGGACGACTGTTCATTCTCCCTTCTACGCACATCGGATGTGACAGCTACATGAGGCAGCAGATGCACGGCATCATTGCTATATCTAACCAAATTGGCCACCCGGACATCTTCCTCACCATGACATGCAATCCTAGCTGGCCGGAGATCACAAGAGCCCTGCTGCCCAATCAAACTCCTCAGGACAGACTGCATCTGTGCGCACGTGTGTTTCGTCTCAAAATGAAGGATCTCATGTCCTTGGTCATCAACGAGGATGTGTTCGGAACCGTCGTTGCCCATGTACGAGTCATCAAATTTCAGAAACGAGGTCTTCCCCACGCTCACGTGGTATTCTTCCTAGATGAGGTCTCCAAGAATGATCTGCGTAATCCCGAAAACGTCGACCGCATTATCTCTGCGGAGATCCCGTCTGCCCAAGATCCAGAACTCCAAGAGGTCGTGCTTAAGCATATGATTCACACTCCAGCTGGAGAACGCAATCCAACAGCCGTGTGCATGGGCGAGCAGTACTGCAAGAAAAGGTTTCCAAAACCGTTCAAACACGAAACCAGCCAGTCCGAAAGTGAGTACTACATCACGTACCGCAGAAGGTCCCCCTCGGCAGGTGGCGTCTCCATCGAGCGTCCCTCCCGTATTGGCCGACGACAGCAATCCGTCGTGGTAGACAACTCCTGGTTCGTGCCCCACAGTCCTCTACTTCTAAGATCGTTCGCTTTCCATTTGAATGTGGAACTCTGCGTGTCACGCGTTGGCGGAATCAAGTACCTCTTCAAGTATGTGTGCAAGGGACAAGACGGAGTGAACATAGAAATCACTGCCAAAAACGAGTGCTACGACGAGATGTCGAACTTCCAAGATGCCAGATATGTGTCTGCATCGGAGGCCGCATGGAGGTTATTCTCCTTTGATATATTGTTGATCGCAATCCTCCAGTGGTCAGACTTTCAGTGCATCTGCCCAACCACCATACGGTTTACTTTGATGAAGGAAGAGAGCAGGAGGCCGCGCTTCGACCGGCATCAGGTACGAAGCTGACCGAGTGGTTTAAAGCCAACGAAAATTACCCAAGCGCGAGGCATATTCGGTACCACAAGTTTCCAAAGTACTTTACGTGGAAGAAAAGCAGCTAGTCATGGAGTCCAAGAGCATCCCTGCGAAGACGGAACGCCAGCAGTGCAGAGGAAGCCTACGATTTCCGTGGCACGGGCGCCAACGTAGTCGGTCGAATCTATACTGTCAGTCCGAGGGAGGGTGAGCCCTACTTTCTTCGCCTCCTCCTGACACAAGTGCCGGGGGCAACATCCTTCGAGAACTTGCGAAACATCGACGGCGAGCAGTGCACCAGCTTCCGACAAGCGTGCTTACGACTTGGTTTGCTGGCCAACGATGCCGAGTGGAAGCACGCCATCCGAGATTCATTTCGGTCAAGCTTCGTTCCCCTTTCTCATCTGTTCGCTACGATTCTCGCACATTGCCAACCTTCGGATCCTCTCTCGCTGCGGAACGACCACCTGCACATGTTTCTCACCGATATTCGCAATCGCGCACGCGGACAACCCATTCGAAGACAGCAGCTTCGCGATGATCACCACGCCACATCTTACGTGCTTGGAGAGGTACAGGAGGCCCTGCAGACGGTGCATTCCAACTGGACGCTCGCACACTTCGGACTCCCACTCCCCGATGACAGCCTGCCCGCTTCGGAACACCCAAACGAGATCCAGACACCCGAAGCACAAGCGCAGCAGTGCGAAGAGCGACTACAGACATCGTTGCCGCTGTTAAACACAAATCAGCGCCATGCCTTTGACGAAATAGTAGGCTCCATGCCTCCAGGCGTATCCCTCTCGGCATTGCTTCAAGGATCCTCCAGCGCCGTTGCGGGACCTTCTATGCCAACACAAAGTAGTCGTCTCTTCTTCCTCGATGCTCCTGGCGGAACAGGCAAAACGTTCGTGCTCAGCGCCATTCAAGACTTCCTTCGTTCGCGCCCCAAGCAAGTCATCGCCGTCGCCACATCTGCTGTTGCTGCAGTGTTGCTCGACGGTGGACGCACCGCTCATTCCGTGTTCAAGATTCCCATTCCTGTATCTGCCGAAAGCACTTGCAACTTCTCCACAAACTCCGATACCGGTCGTATATTGCAACAAGTTGATCTTATCATATGGGACGAGATCGTCACGTGCTATCGAAACTGCACTGAGACTGTCCATCGCTCTCTCCGCGACTTGATGCAAACCGACCGGCCCTTCGGAGGAAAGTTCCTCGTGCTCGCTGGAGACTTTAGACAAATCCTTCCCGTCGTTCCGGGCGGGTCCAGAGGTCAAATCGTGACCGCGTGCGTCAAATCTTCCCCGCTGTATCGAGAGTGCCGATTCCTATGCCTTACCGAGAACATGCGCCTCACTGCTCTCCAAGGGGACCCCGCAGCAGATGTGGAGGCTCTCAACTTCCCACAGTTCCTCCTCAGCGTCGGGGAAGGCAGACTTCAATGCGATCAGCGCCCGGAATGGATCTCACTACCACAGTCCGTAGCGTTCGAGCACACCATCCGCAATTTATGCCTCAAGGTCTTCCACGGCATTCGAGACAATCACGCCGACCCTACATGGCTCACAAAGCGCGTTATACTCACCACAAAGAACAGACCGCTCGAGCAGGTCAACGAAGTCATCGGCAACATGATGCCGGGACCGTATCGAACATATTTAAGCGCAGACAAGGTCGAGAGCGAAGACACCAACGCGCTGATCTATCCCACGGAAATGCTCAACACCTTGACGGCCGGGTCTGATCTACCAGACCACAAGCTCAAGCTCAAGAAAGGTTTCATCGTCATGCTTCTGCGCAATCTCCATCCCACTTCCGGTCACGTCAACGGCGCTCGATATGTCATCGAGAAAATGACCAACAACCTATTCTTTCTACGCGTTACCTCGGGGTCACATGAAGGCAACAGACTCTGCCTTCCACGAATGCCCTGCGGACCAGGTGACGACAAAATCCCATTCCTGGCTTTACTCGAACGCAGTTCCCCATTCGCACGTGATTCGCCCTTACAACGAACAAAGCCCAAGGCCAGTCCTTCGGTGGCCGCATTGGTCTCGACCTACGAGATCATTGCTTCTCGCACGGTCAACTCTACGTGGCATTATCGAGGACTACTCACTCAGGCAACGTCACTATCCTCACTCGAGAGTCCGATGCAACAACGCGAAACGTAGTGTACCCCGAGGTCCTTCAGTAGTCATCAAAAAAGTAAACGCCATTCTCTTTACGTCTCGCCTTTGCCACCCTTCCGAATTATTGCTCCTCCACGCGGACTTGGCTCGGCGCGCGAAGCGCGCACGGAGCCCACTTGTCCAATACTACTAAAATCCGTGTCTGTTTGTCTGTCTGTTTGCCAGTCTGTGTGTGCCTGCCTTGCCATTGGCGCTGTGGTGAAAAGTGGCGTGACAAGTGGCGGCGGCCACGTGCGGGGCGGCCTGGCCGCAGACCAGGGCGCCACGGGGACACGTGGCTGCCACAGGCACTAAAAATCCGTGTCTGTCTGTCTGTTTGCCAGTCTGTGTGACAAATGGCGGCCACGGGCAGGGCCTGGCCGCAGGTCAGGCCGCGCCACGGGGACACGTGTGTCCTGGCGGCCACGGGCGGGGCCTGGCCGCAGGCCAGGCCGCCACGGTGACACGCGGCGGTGACAAGTGGCGACAAGTGTAAAAATTAAAATTAAAATGACTGTGCGGACTGCGGAGCGCGGCCGTGCTACAGTACACTACAAATTTTAGCCCGGATCCGTTTAAACCGCGCCACGCGGATCTACATACAAGTAGTGGGCAGAACTGGGGCGGGCACTGCGAGCACGTGACGGCGGTGTAGTACAAGGGGGTACCCCCCGTTAATGAACAGACCTCCTCAAAATTGAACAAAGCGATAGTTGCCAAATTTTAACGCAAATATAACATTTCATTGCTGTTAAGCCTCATTGAGTGATCAAAGCCATCTCAAATGAACCGGGAACTTGGCGGCAAATGCAAACAGACAAAAATGGCGCCCATTTTCGAATTGAGCGATGCAAATAACCCTTGAAACTTTGGTCTGGCCTCCTATCCGATGCCAAAAAAATCGTCAGGCCAACTCCGGTCTCAAGGTCGCCACTCCCTCTGTAACGGTCACGAAAATGACGAGAGCAAAGCGCTTGTCAAAGAAAGAGAAATGCTTTGAAAGAGCACTACTTGCGGTTGACAGGGGCATGGATCGCCGTCGAGCATCCTTCATTGCTCGCATGCCCCTCTCCACATTCCAGTACAGACTTATGCACAAGGATGACATTCGCTCACCACGAACTGCACTGACCTCTGGCGAAGAAGAAACCATCGTGACACTTATCAATCGATACTCAGCGAAAGGTTTCCCTCTCAGTAACGAGGATATAGCCGATGCTGTGGAAATTTTAGTTTCATCGCTCCCGCAAAGTCGACAACAAAAACTGCCTTTTGTCAACAACAGGCCCGGGAAAAAGTTTTTGTATAACTTTCGCAACCGTCACAGTGACTCCATACAGTTCAAACGATACTCTAAAGAAGAGGAAGTAAGGTGAAAGTCGTGCAATGCAGAAGTAATGACGACGCACTTTGCAGCCATTCACAAAATAATTGCAGACAATAGAATAGACTGCTACCATATATGCAACCTCGATGAGACTGGCATGTCCCCGAACCGAGACTGCATCAAATCTTCACATAAAAAAGCGTACGTTACACGCTCATGCCATCCCGTGAAACGTTCTCCAGAATTTCGGAACATTGATCGTGTAACTATGATGCCAGTTGTCTTTGCAAGTGGGTGTGTTGGGAGGCCATTGTTCGTAGTGAAAGGAAAAAGTATCAAGTTTCGCGTTGTGAAGTCCGACGACCAATCGGTGGTCCAGAAAATTGCTGACTGTCTACCGGATGGCAGCCTCGTGACCTGTCGTGAGGACGTAGCAGGTGTGGATTCTACCAACTTTGCCGAGTGGTCAAAAGCATTCGTGAAGGATAATGAGTACAAATTATCACAGGGAAAAATATTGCTGCTCTTGGATGGATACCGTAGTCATATGCGTTACAAAACCTTGAGCTTCTTGCACAGCGCAAACGTGATAACCTATGCCCTCCCAGCGCATACTAGCGGTGTTACTCAACCACTGGATGTTTCCGTGTTTGGGGCTTTCAAAAGCAAGTTACGTGACCTTGTTGATGGAATGTCTACAGCTGGTGCGGTCAATGTTTACGATCAATTCGATTTTTTGAAGTTGGTGACAGCGGCGTATGCCAAATCTTTTACTCGTTCCAAGATAGCCTCTGGTTTTAGCAAGGCCGGCATCCACCCTGCCAATTTGTCCTATGTGTTTGCAGTGCCTAGGCCATTGTCTTCTATACACTGCGACAAAATCATGAAGGCTGAAGATATCGAGCGCATTCTTGAAACGAAAAGAATGCAGCTTCGAAACAATATTGGTCTCCAGCCCGTAGTTATTTGCAATGGATTTTTGGACACTACGGCAGGATTGTGCCTCACTTCGAGCGAGGTATTACGCATGGCCAGAAGTAAAGATGCCATGGACATGGCTAAAAAGGGAGAGAAGGAACGCCGAGAAGCGGAAAAGGCTGAACACGAAGCCGCATTATATGATAAGGTGAGGAGAATGCGACTGGCGCACGACAAAGAAGCCCTTGCATATCGTGTGCGTGAATATGGTGTGAGAACCGTCTTGCTGAGACCGATGAAAGAACGCCGCATGCTGGCAAAACGCATGGTAGCAGAGAAGAAAGTGCACCGCAGCATAATCATTGCCAGAAGTAGTTCAATGTGACCATCACACGTCATCGCAACCTTTTTTCTGATTAAAAAATGCATGCTAAATTTGGATCAGCCAATTACATAGTTGTACAAATCAGAGGGGGAAAGTTGTCGTTTTGACAGTGACTACAGGCCTTCACCTACTTGCAACGACCCCCAAGTTTTCCTGATCCACATATTGACTGGTTGCATCAGAGCATCAAGCCTT